TTAGATCAACCTGTGATGCTGCTCTCATGCTGGGGAGTTGCGATATTTAGCCCGTGGTATCGCCTTACTTCCTTCCTCTCCTACGTGGCTGTCCAGGCATCTTCAGCCGTCTTCGAGGTTAGCGGCTGAGATCGTGTTTCAGCCTTTTGGGAGCTGAGATTAGGAAGCCAAGGATGTCTGAAAGACCCACTTCTCCAGCCACAACTAGCTGTGACTGCCAATTCTTCTGATTGAGTAGTAACTGCTGTGCATAAATTGGTGGTCTAGAAAGGGGACAAGTAGGAAGAAATTTATTGCTAACATCAGAGGTATTAATTTATTATCTGCATTTGTAACATCTTGTCAGTGGCTTGGGTCAAAGGCCAAAAAACCCCTTTGAAATGGGGAAAAGTGCCTGTATATATGACAAGTGCTAGGGTTTTCCATTCAGTTAAAACAGATCCTTAACTGCAGTGCCAGTCAATCTACATGGCCAGATTTGGCTAGAAAATCTCAAGTGAGAATTCTGTTCTTCAAGGGGACCAAAAGGGGTTGCTATTTGGATTTTGATGTTTTACTATGATGAAAAGCTGTATTCACTCTGGAAAATTAAATATTTGTTTCAGAACATGGCAATAGAACATATTCAGTCTTGTCTGTTTCTCTAAAGAGATGTGACTTAAGAAATCAGTTCATTTTGAACAGCATTACCTTTCCAAGTGGAAAATTATTCAGCCAAGGACTCCCCAATGAAATTTATCATTATTTCTTCAGCTTCTGAAAACAATACCAGAAGTTAATAGCAACTTATGTAGACGTATTCTTGTATTCTGCAGGGCAGAGAAACTAAGCTGACCCTACTTTTCCACCTGTGGAACTAATTTCCTTTGGCTGAAGTCAGAGTTTACAGCTGGCTCCTTGCAGCGCTTTGCACACACGCAGCACAGGGAAGCTCCCAAACCTCCCAGCTGCTGTGAGGGAATAGGGGAATGGGGGAAGGAAAATGAGCTCATCTGGGATGAAGATCAGTCCCTGTATAAGCTTTCAGGTGCTCCCCAGGGACCCTTTCACTGGTGGGTTTGGATGTGTAAAGGAGGCCTGGAGTCTCTCAGGTGTTTGTGGTGGCTCAGGGCTGGCTGTCAGGCAGACCTTATGAGTTGTGTCCCTGCCTCTGGAATACCACACAGGAGTGGAAACCTGGGATTTCTACTTATTATGAAGGTTTCTTTGTCAGCTTCTCTCCCCTCCCCTGCTGCTTTCCCTGCAGTTCCAAGTCACACAAATTATGAAGGTTTCTTTGTCAGCTTCTCTCCCCTCCCCTGCTGCTTTCCCTGCAGTTCCAAGTCTTCTCCTGTTCCCTGCCCTGCAGGGGTTATCAGAGCTGGTCATACCCCAGCCTGCCAGCCCTCCCTCTGCCATCCTACTAGCAAGCCCTGCTCTCTGACACGGTCACCTGCCCTGATCCATCCCCACGTTCTCTGCTCTCCCTGTCCTCCCCATGTTCAGAGTGCCACAGCAGTGGAAGTGGTCTTACCAGGCCCTTGCAAAAGGACTACTTCTCTTTTTTTTTTTTTTACCATGAATAATTTATGGAACAGCTACGTTATCTGAAGAAATTCTGAGGTTATGTCCTCCTTCTTTCTCCTTTCTTCTTTTTCTTTCCTGTTTTACTTATCAGGACAGTGCTGCCCATTGTGGTTTGTCCTCCCTGTGGTTTTTTCAGCCCTCACCACCTTTGCCTGACTTGCTCAAGCACATGTGGTTTATTCTTCCCCTGAGCCACAGTTTCAGCAGCAGCCTAAGCCCTGCTGGGAGCCCCTTGGCATCATCACTGTTGCTTCATACATGGCTGCCTGCAGAGCTCACAATAATCCCTGCCGGGAGCTGATACACTCAGGACTCCTGTGGCAGCACCACCCGTGTGGGAGGTCTTCCTGAGAACAGAGCTGGCTGCAATTCCCTGCTCCTGTGAAGCTACAGCTTGGAAGAGTGCATTTTGACTGTTTCTGCTGCTTCATTCAAGTGACTCTGTTTTTCCAGAATGACATCCTCCAGGTGTTGTGCTACTGGGAAATGTCACTGCGATGTATGACTCTTTTTAAAATTTGCTTTAAAGTCAGTACTTCAGCAATATTTTCCTATTTTCATGAATGACCCAGTTAGCCTTGTTTACACACGATGAATTTGTATTCAAATTTGTATCCAGCTTACCTGCTGGATGATGGGCTGAGGATTGAATAAATTATATTATTATGGCCATTTTAAAGATGAGTCTCCGTCCCTTTATCACTTGTACGCTGCCCAAGTGTGTTGGAGGTGTTTGATAGAAAATGCTCAGTTATTTTAGATGTTGCATGCCTGAGGTTTGACAACCATTTTTAGCCTCTTAGATGGAGTTTCAGTAGAAGCTGGGCTGTGGTTTTGGTGGATGTCTCTTGGGAAGAAAGCTGGTTTGTTCTCCTAGGGCTTAGAGGAGCAGCTCTGTGTTCCTGCTGTCCCTGCACAGAACGATCAGCCCTCCCGGGGGAAGAGAGCATCTGCAAAACCTTGAAGGATGGTCCTGAGCAAATATTGCAAGAATCTGCAAACTACAGAGATACTCACTCGACCTCCACATGAATGTGTTCCCTGTACTTCTACTGTAAAACCTTGAGGAAAGTGTTCTAGCAGGTTCTGGACACAAGTGTTTCAAAGCCAGTATCCCCCATGTATTCTTCCTTGTGTGGAACATGAAAAATCGTCCATGTGCAGGTTGAAAGGTCACTGAGCACCAATGCAGCATTGTTTACAGACACATGCATGTTTCCATGCATGCCTCTGGCCTATCAGATAGTTTTGCTGACATCTGTCAGTAGGTTATCATAGGAGATTGATGAGATAAAATGGTCACTAAAAGTAGTTTTCCTTTTTACTGTAAGTTTGATTACACCACAGTGTCCTGCGACTGTATCTCATTCTTGGGACATTGGTCTACAACAAAAACAAATTTAGGAGTGGGAATTTTATTTAAGGACATTTAAAAATGTTTGTTTTCTCAAAGTTTTGCATGCAAAAATAAAAAAGAATAAACCAGAAAAACTGTTCCTAAATAATTCATTGTGTGTTTCACATTCAAACTTAAATTATATGCTATTTTCTCACTGAGCCCTACTCTAACTATGGAATAATTCTGCCCTAAAAATGAATCAATACTCTATAATGACGGGAACTGTTTTCTGTAGGGCCTGAATTACACAGCTGTGAAGTGGTGGGGTTACAAGAAGAGGAAGAGAGAGTACCTTCCCTTGATCATGGAACAGGGTCCTGGCCCAGCAGCTGAGTTCTTTCTCCATCAGTGATCCCATGCTTAACTGGTGAAACCCAGAGCCCCCTAGGGAGCTGTTCCCTGTGAGTTTCTCATTGCCTGGCTTGATACCTACTTGCAGAAATGCCAAGTATTGTCAGCTGCAGAAGGCTTTGGAAGCACTCCCCTGAACCAGGCATCCTGCAAAATCTATCTGAAAAAAACTGGGTCACTGGCATCAGGCAGGATATGAGTTGATTTATCTGTCGTGGCTCTTAATCTATGAATTGCAAATTTTATTATGAATAGCTTTACCTCTCCAACCCTTTCCATCAAAGGACGCTGACATAAAATGATGTTTACGAGGTACTGCAGCCAGCACTGTTGAAGAAATGCCAGCGAGGAAGTGCGGGCACTAAATGTGGCCTAGGGATGCCTATTTAAGAATGCATGCGCGATGATTGCTGGCTTTTACACCGGTAAGCGCCGCGCATCCCGTGCTTCGAAAGCCGCGTCCAGCTTAAAGGGTCTGTTCCTTTATTACACAAAGAAAGCAAAGGCACAGAATAAAGATTCGCTCACGATTTCTGACGTTCTCTAACTTTCAGTAGCTTTAATCTGCGGCCACAGTGACGGCGGAGCTAGGAGGTTCAAAGGCACAGGCAGGAGCGTCACGAAGCGTTGCCTGGATATTGCCTCGGGATGACAGCTCGGGGTGACAGCTCGGGGTGACAGCTCGGGGTGACAGCTCGGATGACAGATCGGGATGACAGCTCGGGGTGACAGCTCGGGGTGACGCTCCCCCGCTGCGAGGCGTGCTGTCACCTGCGCGCCGGCAGCCGCGGCACCCCCGAGCGGCAGCCGCCCTGTGCGCTGCGCTTCTTTGTCCCTGTCCCGTCCTGCTCCGCCCGGGCCGTGTCCCCAGAGCCGCCGAGCTGCCCCCGCCTGCACTCTCCGGAGCTCCGTGTGCTAAGGCTGTGAGCGGCGAGGTGAAAACACTGCTCTCATCAGAATTCAGATTCTGCATTTTGCTCTTCTCCGATATTTAAACTCACTCAGCAGCATCAACTTAAATACCAGCTTTAACACCATGGAATGTTATCACTTTATTTTCCCCTTTAAATCCGCCCATAGGTGTATGTAGATTATATCTGAGACACTTCTTGCTAACGCAAGTTTCTTCGGGGACCCACGACATCCCCAGTCTTTCCCGCCCTCTTTGACTCAAACCGTGATTCCGAATTCTGGTTCTCCGCTTGGTGGGAGGAGCCCGCGCCCCCCGGCTCCTCCCGCCGCGCCTGCGCGGGGCCGCCCTCCCGCTCCCGCTGCCCCGCTCCCGTTCCCGCTCCCCTTCCCGCCGCTCCCTCCCCTCCCCTCCTCTCCGGGAGCCGCTGGCGTCTGGCGCCGGGAGCCTCCCCGCTGCCGCCGCTGCTCCCGCATGGAGCCGCCCGCCTGAGGGACGGCCCCGCCCTCGCTCCAGGTGATGCCGGCCGCCGGGGTGACGATGCCGCCGGCGAGGCGGCGGCGGCCACTGCTGATGGAGGAGGCGGAGATGATGATGGTGATGATGATGGGCTCCGCCGCCCGGCCCTGCCCCTGAGCGGCAGGGAAGCGCCAGCGGCCGGCTCCCCTCCTCCCCCGAGATCGCCCGGCTCCCCCCGGCCCGTCCTCGATGTCTCCCCCGCGGCGCGGAGCTCCCTTGGCCGCCTCCCCGCCCTGTCGCTCCTCGCCGCCGCCGTGTCCCTCCCGCCCCGCGGCCCGGCGGCGGCACCATGAAGGTGGAAGCGGGAGACAACTCCATGATCAACCTGTCGGTGCAGCAAGTGCTGAGCCTGTGGGCTCACGGCACCGTCCTCCGCAGCCTCACGGGTAACGGGGCAGAGCGGGCCGGGCGGCTGCGGGGCTGCAGCACAATGGAGGGCTGGCCGCGGCCGTGCTCTCCTGCCTGCTGCGCCTGGGGAGGGCTCCTGATTGTGGTCCCGAGCCTCTCGGGGTGCCTGCAGGCGTGTTCTGTGGGCAGGTACATCGTGTCTGTGTGTGTGTGCCTGCTGTGGGGTCCAGGGAGTCGGGCGGGGTCTGTGTGAGGTGCTGGGGTGTGTGCCCGGTGTCTGGGATGCCTGCCCGTGCAAAGGACGTGAGCCTGTGGGATCTTCTCCCTCACTTTTTCATGCCCATAATAAATAAAAGAAGGCTAATGGCATAGGGCGTGTGTATGCGAGTGAAGTGATGAGTACCTGTGCATAAGGGAAGGATTGTAGAAAGTGTGTGAGTGTATAAATATGTATGGAAGGCTGGAGTATGTTTGTGGAGGTGGTTGGTTTTTTATTTTATTTTATTTTTTTCCCCTTGTCTGCATATGCTCATTGGCATTTGACAGAGAGCTATAAAAAAAACAACTAGAAAACCATGAAGTTGAATGTGGAGAATGAGACTTCCCCCACTACCCCTGAGTATATCTGTGGATAATGGGACTTGGTGGAGTGAATGAGGTGACAGCTGTTTTCTGACAAGTAGTTGTAATCTTAAACATCTGGGATTCTTAAAGACTTAGCTGTTACAAAAAAATTCTGTGAACCAAAGTAGAGTCAGGTCCTCACCCCTTGTTAGGAGAGGGGAGCTTTGGCTGGCTTTCGGCAAGAACTGGCTTTTTTCTGCTCAGTCTCAGGATGAAAATTGGGTGTGGACTACTGTGAGACCCAAGGCATACAGTGGAGAGGGGTATCTTCTCTTATTCCCTCCTTGTGTGAAGAAAAGCATAAGCTTGCAGCTCTGAGCAAACAGGGACTGGGTGTCAGTAGCAGAGATGTAACTGAGTAAATGCTTTCTGCTCGGTTGTAGGGATGTATTAGGTGGTGACAGATTAGTGGAAAATGTTGAGTAGGGGTAGGTTTTAAACAGTTATGGAAATATTCTAATATTTATGCAAGAGTATTATGTCACCTTTTTGCACTCTATAGTAATAGTTAGTAGATATATTCTGTTTTCTTTTTTAATCTTTTAAAGGTGAAAGAAGTGGGATGAAAACAGGAGTGGGATGAAAATAGAAGTGTAGCTGAAGTTGAAGCTGTAGCAAACAGAAAGTGATTATCTTTATTGTTCTTTTAACTTTCTGGATGCATCTTAGTGTAATAAAAAAGATTAACCTTTTCATATTTATCTGATCTATGAACTTTGTAGTGTGTGTCTGATAATTAGAGTTTCCAGGTATTAGTGTGGTGACACACTAAATACAGCTCACTTCCTGGGTAGTTACTTTAACATACCTACTTTAAAAACTTGTACTCTTAAAGGAAAGAGTTCACAATGGATTTCACTTTGCATTGTGCCAGACATCCTCTATAAAGTTTTTCTTATTAGATCATTGTGCAGCATAGGCGTTTCTATGAAATTCAGTGTCAAGAGTTAAAACCAGCTCGTTTCTCAGTGCTTTTGCAATAAGATAAGGGCTTTCTTAAGGTATTTTTAATGGGGAATGTATTTTATTTTTAACTTAAAAAATATGAAAAAAATTTTTTTTATTCATTGTGTTGTTGGAGGATGTGTCGCTGCCAGTTGTAGCTGCAGTTTCTAATTTTGTGCTTAAATGATGGCTTCTCTTACAGCCATAACCTGTTGACCTGAATGTTCTCATGGACTGTCAACAGTCCAAAACTGGCACTGGACTTAAAAATCTTTTCCACATGTTAGAATGTATATTGATATGGTCACTGATCTTAACAAAAAGCTGAACTAATTACATAAGCCCTTCCTTATTCCTTATCAAAGTAAACTTTGTTCAAGACCAGAAATTCTGTTTTTTTCCCTGCCAAGAAAGTAGGTTTGTGAATGAGTTTATCTTCTTTGACTACTTAATCCATTCCCTTTTGCACCTCTGTTAGGTATAAGGAGAAACTTCTCCAGAATACTGGGAAAAGAAAATCATTAATATGCCATGTTCCATAAATATTCAAGACTGCCTCGTGTCTACATTTGGACTTCATGTTGTGGTCTGGACTGGACTTTCAAGTTGCACAAGTGAAGATTTAGCTCCTTTAGATAAACCATATTGATTATATATTCACAAACATTTTGTGAAATGTTATCAGCTACCTTCTTCAAAATATGTTAATTTTCTGAAATTTTCAACAGGGTCCTGATATGAACTCCAGCCTAAGCCAGGAATGCTTCATACCCTAATAGTTTAGTTTTGGTGGGTTCTTTTTCCTGTCAATGAGAAACTGAAAGATTATTTTAATACCTCATATGTGAATCAGGTTCAACATAAAAAAAGGAAATCCTGTCTTTGGTTCATGGCCTCAAATACCCATGAGACCACAGACAAGTTCATTGCTGCCACATACACATCACACCTGGTAACAGCTAAAGCTGCTGGTGTTGTTCCTTTGAGCTGGACATTGGCCCATCACCATGGGGTGCTTGCTTCCTGCCTTCCTGACTTCTCTGGGGAGGTGCAAGTAAGGCTTTAGGAGTCATGGGAGAGGTGGGGTGGCTTTTACCTCACTCTTTGTTACCTCTGCCAGTAAATGCAAAGAATACCTCCTTTAGATAAGCTGGTTGTGTTTTAGAGTTAGTGCTAGATCAGGGTTTACTAGAACAAATCAGATAGCAACTAAATTTGAACTGAAAAAGGAGAAAAAAAATTCCCATTATTAGTATACAGTAAAATAAAAATTGCTTTCACAATAAAGGACATGGCAATATTTCTACTGATAGAAGCTCCTAAGCTCCATGCTGTGCTCATTTTTCCCAGATTGTCTGGATTTTCTTTGCCCACTATGCTGTTACTTGAGAAGACTAGTCTAATTTGAGATTTAAATGGTCCTCAGCAAAATGCTTTTTTTCCTACTTATTGCAGCAAAAATGTTAACATCTCCCAACAACAATTTGACTGTATTGTTGATAGCATTGAAAGTACCAGTTAATACAATAATTAAGGACAGGACCTGGTGCCGAAGAAAAAAATATAGCATGTAAATAGCTGAGTTACACTCGCAGTTATCATGTGCTGTCATTTCATCTGAGTGCTTTGAGTTTGTAAGCTACAGAAATCTAACATTTCTGTTTTTTCTAATCCTAAGTTTGACATGTGCTACTTTCTTGACTTAAATCTATATTTTTGTATTCTTAGTACAGGTGTTTGTTGCTTGACTTACCTCTGTAACTAATAGTAGTAGGCTGGTACTGGGCCTAGAATGGAGAGAGAAAGAGAGAGACACTTTGTTTTGGAGTAACCACTTTTAATTTATGACATGTTGTAGGCCATCATTATTCATCTGGCAAAACAAGCTTAGAACTTAGAGGAAAAGTGCTGAAGATGAAGGACTAAGGAGATACTCCGTGTTTCCTGAAGCTGAGTGGCAGTAGGACAGCATATTGATACAGTATATAGATAATATGTGAAAAAGTTATCATTTATCTACTTGTGTAAGGTGAAGCTGTTGATGGAGTGCTGCTTCAAGTCTTGATAAGATGGAAGTGATATGAATGTTATTCTAAACAATGGCATGCTTTGATAAGTGTTTTGCAAATCTCTAATCTTGTGCATGCCTACACTAATATATATATATATATATATAATGTCTATCTGTAGTGCATAAGCATAATGTATGCGTGATATCTACCTGATATGTATAAACATCAAAATTAACAAAGTGCTCTAAAACTGGTGTGATTGGGCATTAATTACAAGATATTTGAGTTGCAACTTTTCTGGTAGGAAAAAAATCCCCAGCTGAGGCAAACCAGAGGAAAGGTGCATAAACACTATCTTAAATCTTCTTTTCAGTTTAAGCACTAAGAATTTTAAACGTGAAAAATGTATCTCAGTTCTTCCTATTGGAAGAGCTGTGACATCTTTGCTATATACTGAATATCACTATGCTTGTAGACTACTGATCCTTCCCCAGTTCCTGTATTTCTCTAGGAACTGTGGAGTTTTGATAGATGTATGTTGTGTTTTGGTGACTTCAGGTAATTTGGATACACTAAAAGTAAACTCTGAAATTTTCTTAGGGTCAAGCAAGGGAAGCAAGCATTTTGTTGGTTGTTTTTTTTTTTTTAATTTGATACTATTCATATCTCTTTGGGGGCATGACTAATAAACTGAGGCTAAGTGAGTATTTGAACCTCTCTGACAGATATAGGTAAATCATTACCTCCGTAACAGCAGCTCATGTTGTCAAAAGAGCCAGCTAATTAAAATAGCTGCACAAAGGCTGAAATTGGACTGTGCTTTTTTTGTCAGGATAGCAAAACGTAAATTTATGCTGCTTACAGGATCAGTCAGCGTATAGGACATAAATAGCTGAGACACTTCAGTCTCACTTCCTCTTCCTTAGAGATGTTGCAAGTCAATTCAGCAATCAAACTACTCAGTCATTTTTGAGCAAGTGAAGTCTTGGCCATCTGTGTTTGGAGGTCCACATTCTTTTCCTCTGTTCTTTAGTGACACCTCTCAGTATTATTCCCAACCCATTCTTGTGCCTTTCAGTGTTACTCTGAGATACTGCTATTGAGTCACCTCTTTTCATGGTTCAGGGGCTAGATGATACTGAATTTTACAGAACATGAATAATTCTCTGCCCTCACCATATCAAGGTAAGAGTGTCTGTGTTGTCCTCTAGGTAAATGGAGCTGAAGGTCTCCTCTGATTTGCCTGAAGGGTTCTCTCTCTCTCCCCTTACCTTGTTTATCCCTGTTAAACAACTTACTTGGTTGGCTTCATCACTCACCCTACAAGCAGAAGTAAATAAATGGCTGTGTTTAACTAGCAGGCATAGAAAGTGTGAATAAAGGAGGATAAGAAAGTATAGCTTTTGGCCTTTCCAAGGGAAGGTGCTTGGAAGTGATTTGTCCTGTTTCAGCTCCTACATGATGTTTTAAGATATACATGATACTTTAATGAAGGGAGGTCATAGTTTAACAAAGCTCCAGCTTCTTTTGTGTCAAACAAGGAGTATTTCTGAATGTTCTCTAATTCCCTTTTCAATATGGCTGCTGCTTTTAAGGAGTGGGAGGAGAAAGTGTGTAACAAAGAAATGAAGTTTATATTTCTTTAGCCAACAGGACATTTTGCTGCTGGCTCTATTCTCAAGCCTCCTGCCCTAAATATAAAGTGAGGGGTGATGTTAATTTTCCTTGAGCCTTATTTGGAACATAAATAAGACCAAAGATAGTTGCTCACTGTGGAGCTATTTTGTTGTGTAAGAGTTTGTAAATATTTTTGGTTTCTTAGTTACAGGGGAGTAGTTAGCCTTCCCATAAGCTTCCATTTTCTTCTAAAAATACAGTCATCCTAGTGAGTTTTCCTGAGACTGGAAGCAATTTGTCTTTTCTACCTGATAAAGGTTGACAATGCCTACAAACACCAATTTCCTAAAAGGTGATGATGCAGTGCCTAACAAATCCGTAGAAATTACAGGGTATGACAGTGTCAGATTCCCACAGACTTTCTTGGTTAATAAATCCTACTGCTGCCCTATTGTAGGTCTGGCAGGGCTGCCATGTTCTGTATTGTTAGATCTTTGGTTAATCCTTTTGTTTATGTGCTGCCACTTGAATAAAACAATGGAAACACCCAGGCTGCGCTAGTAATGGACCAGGCATGTTAGGACAGCAGGAGAGGTTCCCTTCCCCAGATTAGGTCAGCCAGTCTTTCTTAATTTTAGTAAGGGGGTTTGTGGAGTGACTGCTTGACACTTCTGCCACTGTTCTGTCACAGTAGCTTCTGACAATGATGAGACATTCATTTAGTGGAACAGTACCATGGTCATTATCCTTTTGCCAAGATTTTTGGGATCCATCTTGGGGCCACGGGTGAAGGGATGGAGGATCTGATGAGAGCTGCTCTGAGCCACCCTCAGGATGTGGACACATGTACCCAGGCACTCAGGAGGAAAAGCTGCACCTTGAACTACTGTTGAAGTATTCATTGGATGTTGATTTGCCAGCCACTTTCCTTGTTGCTCTTTTGAGAGAGTCTTTTGGCTACCATGATTTAGAGGAGCTGTCTGTCCTTGGGCAGACATAGTGTTGCCATTTATGCCTGTGTGGAAAGGGAAGGGTTGAGCTACTCCCAAAGTACTGCTAAATAAAAAAGCTTGAACTCTCTATCTGTGCTATCTATATACATATCCTACTGCAATGGACTCCCACAATAACTGTGGTTATTGTGTAGCAACTTTTTTTTTTTTTCTCAGCATCTTTTCAGAGTGTGTTTTGTGTTGCTGAGTATTTTTAAAGTTAGCTAATTGGGTTGTATTTTTTCCTCAAATAGTTGATATGAGTCAAGCTACATTAATACAGGCTTGCCTCATAAGCAGTATCTTGCTTTTGTAAGGAAGCTGGGTTTTTTTGTTTTTTGTGTGTTTTTTTTTTTTTGTTTTGTTTTGTTCTATTTTTGAGGGGGACTGCTGCAAAATCTGAATTAATGACAGTGTCATGGGATTATGGAGTTCTATTTTTGAGGGGAACTGCTGCAAAATCTGAATTAATGACAGTGTCATGGGATTATGGAACACATACCCTAATTTGCTAAGTTCTGTAATGATGCATACCCACTGTAGCTCACTTAAAACAAAAGGGATTTTTTTCTTTTATTTACTAACCTTTTGATTTGTAGAATGTTTTTAGAAAGTTGGCACCAAGTGAGAAAGGTTCTTGAGTTATTGTGTAGCTCCATTGATGGTTTCAGGGTTCCAGCTCTTTTCTTTGAAGATGCTCATCATGTCTGCCATTCTTCAAAGAAATGTTTGTGCTCCAAACATTCTCATGATCTGATGCCCTTTTTAGTAATTCAGATAATAGTCACTACCTCTCTCTGAAGTTCTGTACTAAGCAATTAGAAGCAAGGAGTTAGATGTGTTAAAATTTCTTGTTAAAATTACAGTGTTTTTATTTGCACCTTTGAAGCTCATTCGATGGAACACTCTGTTACAGCTCCTGGCTGTAGATAAGCTAAAGTCTTTAATCTCAGTTTTCCCATCTGATGTTACCTGATGCTATCTCTTATTTGTGAGGGGGGGGGTTGGGAAACAACAAAAGATCCACGCCTGCCCCAAAATAAAAACTCACAACTCAAACCCCAAACCAGTTCTTGACTTTTTCCTCCTTCAGTCTTTGTGTCAGAGAATATTTCATTCTACAGAAGCAGTTAAAATGCCTACTAAGAAATTGCAGTCAACACTATTTAAAGAAGTCATTAAAGGAATTATGGCTACTTGTAAAAATATACCTGAATTAAGATTTTTGCCAGAATCCTTCTTATAATTTTTAACATAATACAGCTAATCCTTTATGACAGACTGCTGTAATGAGGAAAGAGTCTTGAGCGTGTGCTGATGATGTCTTTTAAGATGGAAATCCATATTGATTTTCTCTTTGATTGATTTTCTCTGTTGATTGTTTGCAATGTTTTAAAGTTTCTTACTTATAAAGTTCTTGTCTTTAAAATATTAACCCTTTATTTGACTGCTTTCTTTCAGAGATGTGGTACTGGGTTTTCCTCTGGGCTCTCTTCTCCTCTCTCTTTGTCCATGGTGCTGTGGGAGTATTAATGTTTGTGATGCTGCAGAGACATAGGCAGGGGAGGCTGATATCTGTCATTGTGGTCAGCATTGGATTTCTGGGTTCTATAACTGGAGCAATGATAACCAGTAAGTCTGCCTTTTGTTCTTGTTTGGGTTTTTTGTTGTTTTGGGCTTTCTTTTCCTTTCTTATTTTACATCTAACTTAAAACAAACAAACAAAAAAAAACCACCAAAAAAACCAAACTGCTTTTCTTGTCTTTCTTTTTTTTCTTATTTTACATCTAACTTAAACAAACAAAAAAAAAACCACCAAAAAAAACCAAACTACTTTTCTTAGTTAATTGTTTATTAAGGATTTTGCAATAGTTATAGAGTGGCTTCCCCCCACCTCCCAAAAAAAGAAAAATTAAACTTTGCTGATGTTCTAAGTGAAATACTGTTTGGCAAGGGCATCTGTTAGAGAGTTTCTTATGGAATTAGATGAATGGCTACCACTCAAGATACAGTTTTTCATTTTTTATTTCTTGACATTGTATCCTCAGATAGGTGCAACAGTTTTTTATGTTAAAGCCCAAAGGTTCACAGAGCTGTAGTTAAAATCCACACTCATGTTTAAAACATTGCAGAAAGTAGGAGTGTGTTATGTACTAAAGTGCAGGAGGCTTACACCTGACCAAATATGACACGAGTGTTGTTGCCAACAATGTTTTGAGGAAATGCTGCTCATGTGTCCTCATCTAGAGTTATTGGTATCAGATGCTGCTTTTCCATCTTTCCCAAGAAATTCCATTATCTATGTCAGCACTTAAACATGTGCCATAAAACCTGTAGGACACTTTATTCATTCTTTGGTTTTATCATATCCAGCTCTGTTTATCAAACTTATAAATAGATTACAGCAGCATTCCCAAGCAAGTAGGAGCATGCTGAGTTTCCTCTTGTTGGGGAGAAAATAGTGAATGCTATTTTTTCAGGAAAGAAGCACATGCTTGTCTGCAACAGTGCTGGTAGGGAGTTCTCAGCGTTAAAATCCATGTGTTGAGTGGTGCCTATGTTAACTGAGCTGTAGTTTCTGCCCCAAAATCTTCAGTGTTGCAGAAAAGATTGCCTAACTTGAAAGGTCTCTGAGGCTAAGTAGCCATAAATCTAGCAACTACCATATAGTCTGAAGGCAAAACTTCCTACCTTTCATTTTGGTTTTCCTGTGTCCTGCCTGGGTTGTCAGAATAGTGGTATCACTATCAGCTTTGGACACATTCACAGGGGATTTGTGTCAGATTATTTCTTGTTGCTGCTGAAAGACCTTCCTGACTATTGTTTTTCAAGGCTAAATAAAAACGCAAATGTCATGAGAAGTTTCACTAAGACTTTCCTCAAAATGTTGTTTTAATTGCTACAGATTTCTCAGCTTAGAATTTCTACCAGTTAACACAGTGTGTTTCAGTATAGCTATTTTTTGTTAAGTTTTTGGGGGGAGGTTGGATTTATTTTTTTTTTCTAAGATAAGTTGGAACTAGTTGAGTGTCTTATGTTATATGTTATGCTGATTTTTGTCTTAGGATTAAAATGGCAGTGGCCTGTTACAAGGTCAGCCATGCAGGAGCATTTCTGAAGAACTGAGATAGGAAATGTGGTGTTGAAAGATCCAAGCAGAGACTTTCACAGCTTTGTGTGCTGGGAAGGTTTCAGGATCAGTGTCTCTCAAATGAAAGTACTTTGTGTCTTTTATCTTTGCATAAAAAGAGGAGCAACACAGTTGTATTTTTGGCATCCAGTTTTGCAGGTCAAAGCATTTAGCACGTAAGCAATCCTGTTTGTGTGCATATTCATCTGAGAACTTCTCCAAGCTTAGACTGTAGACTTGTTATGCTGTTCCCAAAGGTTTTGCAGAGAGCATTGCAACTAGCTTAGGCAAGTACTTTTATCTTGAAGTATTTTTTGTTTCTGGCCAGCACTCAGTTGTTTCATACTGGTAGAAATTCTGTGGGGAGCTTTTGAAGGCAAATTATGGTGATCAAATATTAAAGAGGATTTTTAATAGTTATTATGCTGCAAACTGAGAGATGCAAGTTGAAATATCTATCTAAAAGCTATTTGAATATGCCTGGTCCAGTGCTTAAGAAATTGCAATAGCAAACTGACTTGAATTTCCACTTTGCATTTCCAGTCTTCTGCCTTGTTTGTGTAGGAGAATGAAGGCAGCATAGACTATTGCACAATGTAAGTTTGGTTTTGCTCAGGGAGATCTTTCAAATTTTCTGATGTTCTGGAACCTTTTTAGCAACCTATAGAAAAGCAGGAGACTCCTCTGTTAATTAGCTTTGAAAAGTCATGGAAATTAAGGATAATTTAAAAAGATACTGAAAAATTACTAATCAGAAGGGAATATAGTAAAAAAGAAAAAAACAACCAAAATAATAAATAAAATAATAGTATAAACAAAATAATAATAAAACCAAAGAAACCCACAAAGCAACAGCCAAAAAAAACCTCACCAAAACAAACAAGAATATATAAATACTAGGCAGCTTAAGGCAAGAATTTTAGCTTTATTTGATCCAGAAGGGCCTGTCCTTCCTCCTCTTCCCCAGCACACTCCTTTTTGGTGACAAATTCTCATTTCCCTCGTTGGCAGCCTGTTGTACATACTTTTGGCTCTATACCATCTGTGCTGGGTTATGCATTACAGGTTGTACTGCACACTGTTATTTATGTAATGATATATAATTAGCAAACTATCAAATTTTTATTGTTTTATTCTGAATATTTCCCAGAATATCCCAGTGTTTTTTCAAAGCCCAAAATTTCTCGTATTGATCTGGTAGTAACAATTCTGGTATACATTTTTGGCCATTTTGAATTCGCCTTAAGAGTTCAATCTGAAAAATAATTTTATTGTCTGTAGTGGGCTCAATCTAAAGGATCTCTTTCAGGTTTTGACAGCAGCTAGCCAAGGAACAAATGGAAAAGCTTATGAAAGGTAGCTGAGTGAAATACCATAAGGGTAGCCTTCTGGTGAGATATTTCAGACAAAATATACTTTACAGGATATGTTTAAAAAAAAAAATTAACCCAAAAGTTGCCTAGCAGTATGATTAATAGTGTTTTTAAGTACCATTATGGCACAATTATTAGTGAATTCTACTCTTCCTTAAGCTGTTGTGAAACTGAGGTGTTACTTTTTGAAGATGTCAGATGATTCAGATGCTGACTGTACTTTCAGAAAATCTGTTGTGACTTAATGTATTTCTGTGTCACTAATGGATTTTTGATCACTCCAGCAGACTATTCCTGTTAGTGACTGTGCAAAAACAAAAAAAAAAACCAATTTTTTTTAAACTCTTGTTTATTATTTTAAAAAATTTTGATGACTTTTCAGTTCTCTTTGGGCCTGAAAGAGCCTCTGTGCAATCACTGAAGTAATTTAATTATGACTCGATAGCATCTGAGACAGTGCATACTGAAGATCTGCAATTAAATTTTGGGTTTGGTTTAGGTTGATCCTGACCTCTTGATATTATATTTCAAATGTGAATTTGCACACAAATGTACAAGAAAAATGATCTGTTGAGTTTGGAATTTTTTTATGTGCTAAAATGTAATTGTATTGGTTAGCAATTTCCTCTCATGCACATTTGTGGTAAACACTGCAATACTTGGACCTTTTTCATGTTTTGCGGGATTTGCTAAACAATTGTTAACAATTCAGTCGTTTAAGTCAAAATAAACTTATTTAGTATGACCAGTTTATTCAGCTGAAATATTGAATGAAGCTGGTCAATGTGTGTTTGCAATTGTTTTGTGGACATTAACAGCTTTATTGTTCTTGTCTTCTCCCTGCCTGTACAAGCAGTATTAAACCATTCTTCAGACCTGGTCAATTTTTAGAGGACTGTCTTGCTACCTTTTCAAACTGGTACAAGGCAAAAAATGTTTTTAAAAAATTGAAGACGTATACAGGGAAACAACAAGATTTGATTTCCTTAAACTGATGATGGAAAAGTTGCTCTGGTTCAGTTGGGAAAATCATTCCTGAAGGATATATATAACTATAAAAATACAAGTAAGGCTGGTAATTGTGTAATGCCATGAAGTAATGCAGTGTTTGGTAATGTCCTGTGAATAGCTGACACATAGAGTAGATAATTTGTCATATATTTCAACCTTGGCTTTTTCTGTGATTTGATCATTGTTTTCCTTGTGATCCTTAGGTGCTGCAGTAGCTGGAATTTACAGAGTAGCAGGAAAGAATATGGCTCCCCTAGAAGCTCTTGTCTTTGGCGTTGGACAGACAGTACTGACATTAATTATCTCATTTTCAAGAATTCTCGCCACGCTTTGAAACTTATGTAGAAAGGGGGGAGAAAAACGTCTTTAATCTGAAGAGAAGCTTCCTGACAGTGGATTCATCAGCTTATGAACTTCAATTCTAGTGCAAGAGGAAGGAAGCTATGTGGAAAGTGCACTACAAGTCTCGAGGCTCAGTCAAATGAGCAGGCTGTCCTCTAGTGTTGGAACTGCTGCACTCCTGCACTGCGCCTTAACGTGCCTCCGTCACGGGCGAGGGGGGATCCCTGTGTGCCAGGCAGAGATGGAGCACCTCGGGCAGCTGCCAGGCAGGTCCATGCTTGGTGGTGGGATCACTGTCCTTAACACATTGGAATGAAACAGAGGGGCCATCCTGAAAGCTGCTCCGTGTGCCAAACTTGGGGTTTCATTCTGAGCGGGTGGCTGGGTAAGCTCTGGAATGTAGAAGAATTCTGTGAATGTGCACAATTCTCCTTGAATTCAGGGGAAATAGCAAGATAACTGACTTTTGTGTATTAGAAGAATCTCTCTGGATGCTGAATATTCCTGTTCAGCATTCAAAACAACGGTTAGATCTGTTTCAAAATGTAGATTAATTTTGATGGGGTTTAAGAACCGCAGCTTTAACAACCCTGGTGTAATTAGCACTATGTGAAGAATGGCTCGTGGCAGTTTTGTTCCTTGGCACATTTCTTTGTGAGTTTAGCCTGTCAGAAATCAGGAGTTTAAGGTGACTGTATGAAAGTTATTAAGTACAAGCTGTTGTGTATGCACAAACAAATCTTAAACTGATGTTTTCCTTGAAATTACTTTGTCTTAAGCATACAGATGGCTACCAGCCCTTCTGCAAACCTCAGAAAAAGGGTACTCGTTGCAAATAAACTCCCTATATTTAATTAAGCACTGGTAGGACCCTTACCCCTACATGTATTCTGTAAGGAAAACACAAATACAACAAACTCTCAGAGAATACACCTATGAGGAAAATAGAAAGGGTTAACAATATGATATCTTGGTTTTCTAATGAGAAAAATATTAAGTGTAATAAAATGGTTACCATACTCCAAAAATTTGTAAGTGGGGCAGCACTAATGTATTTACTACCTTGTTTCTGAACACTTTGTATCTTTGGAAAGATACCTGGAACTTTCAAATACTTAGCTTTCAGTGGTTTGTGCTTTTCTAGTTTAAAAGGGACTGAGTGGTGTTGTGCATGTGAAATGTCATAAATGTGAGTGTTTGGAGTAAAGAGAAATTTTAAGTCTAATGACTAATTATTTATGAAATACAAAATATAAAGGGCAAAAGGTTCTGTGAAGAATAAGGAATCTTTTACATCTTCTCTCAGCTTAAGGCTTTTCAGCAGTTGTCTCTTAATGATGATGGGGAGTAAATCACTCAAAGATTTTGCTGTTATGATGTCAGAAAGACTTTCAGGACTGTCACAAACATTGGCACCTACTGCACACCTAAAAGAATATGTTTAAAATGTAACTTGCAATCCAGTCATTGCTTAGTACTTTGAAATATAATGAATTAACCTGTCTGCCTTTATCTTAATCCACATACATTTCTTTAAAGTACTAGAAATGCTAATAGTGTTTGTTTTCTTTGAAAGCATCAAAGTCCTGTTTGGAAAGCATACAAAGTTGTGGGCTTTGCAGGGAACAAGTTAAAATATAGGTTTATACATATTTTCAGTATTATTTTTACTTCTAATTGCTGAAAAATGTGGCTGAATACAAATACTGTCATTGTTTTTGAATGTCTTCAAAAACTTTCCTGTCGTTTATTTTTTTGTAATTTGTCTTTTATTTCTGCTTATGATTTTTTGGCACACAACCATTGCACTTTAATAGACAATGAAATTATGACATCTGTAACAAGCAATTGAAACTTCTCCCCATTGTCTTAAATTGTGAGAAAACTGGTTTCAGGTATTAAAGTCAAATTGAATAATAAAGTGATTGAAGATATTTCTCCTAATGTGCCTTGTTACATATATGTTTAGGGGAGAGGGTTTAAAAAAAATTGTCACATCTTCATTCTTGTTCTATTTTGATTATTTCTAATTAATTTGGTTACTTGATACAGTGTCTTGTTCAACAGAGTTTAAAACATTTTATTTGACAAACCTCGAAAGCTTGTCTGGATCAAAACCAACCACATCACAAAGAACTGTTTTCAGTAATTTAGATTGTCTCATGCCTTTATCTCACACTGAAACTAATTCACAGGTTCCAAATTTTCTTGAACATCTCAAATCTTAATTTTTATAGGAGGCTATTATGCTGCCACTGGTCAGTGGCTGTCTGTCTTTCACTAAATTAAACTACAGCAGACTGCTGCCAACTGATGAGATATGTATGCTTGTATTGATGAACTTCATTCTTCATTTTAATTACTGTGCCAATGAAGTTGTTGCCACTGTAACTCTCCCCCTTGGACAAGGAGGCATCTTTGCAGGTTTTAAGCTACCTTTCTCCAAATAATTTTTATTGCATAGGTACTTGTATTCACTTTGAAAGTGTTGTTGTGTGCTTAGCTCTCTCTGCATTGTGTGGCATTATTGCCTGGCAACAGGGAACAGGCAGATAATACTTAAGTGACCTAACGGGGACAAGGCTTTATTTGACAGAAGTTTGTTTTCAGCTCTTTCTTGTGAGGAGTTTATAATGGTGAAAAGTTTGTCTGTGAAGTGTTCTTTGATCACAGCATGAACTTACTGCTTAATAACTCCAGCAGTGAAAGAAAGTGTGAGTGGCCTTATGTCTGCAAAACTTGGAACTTTCATTCCATATCCCTGTTAAGCATAAGGTGCTTTAGTCAGTGTTTATGTGTGAGTGTGTGTGTGTGTGTATATATATATGAATGAATGGTGGCTTTTTGGAGTTTGTTTTATACCTGATACACACTAACAACTGAAATAGGTTTTCCAATAAAAAATAAAATTACTTTAGATAGCCTCCCCTCCCCCTTCCCCTCTTAATGAAGCTACAAAGACATCTTTGTGTGTGAATGGCACTGATGGTACCCTGGTTCACCCTTGGACAATGCAGTGTTGTCACACAGGATGTTTTAGCACTGTCTTCAATCAGCTCTGCCTGTCTCTGCATTGTGTCAAAGTGCACATTCTGCATTGTGCAGAACAAATAATGCATTGACACAGTTTAATATTTGGAAGAAGGGGGAGTACTGAATATATTATTTAGTGTGGAAAAGGTACTGGTTTTTTAGTAGCTGCTGTTAACAAAGATTCAAACATTCCACACACTTTCAATTTTTCAATATGATCATGGAATTGTAAAATACCAGGTTGGAGGGGACCTCATTGATGGTCTGGTCCAACTTTTCCTGTCAAGAGCATGGTCTAGACAAGGTAGCCCAGCACCCAGCCCAGTCTTTAAAGTGTCTATTGGCCCTCATCATTTCCATGTGACTGCTTGTAATAAGGGAGTCTTTTCTTTGTAGCCACCCTTTGGAAATAGGAATATGGTGATAAAGTCTCCCTTGAGCCTTCTTTCTTCAAGAATCAACCCAGTTCTTTGCCTTTCCTCATATGTCAGGCTTCCCAGACTGTTGATTATCCCTGTGGCCTTTCTCTGGAGCCTTTCCAAGCTGTCCATGGTTTTGTGTGTTTTTTGCATGTCACGGACCAAAGCTGAACACAGAGAACCCACTATTGCAGGTGTGGCCTCTCAAGTGGCTGAGTGAGATAATGGTGATTTTATCTCTGCTGATGATGCCTTTGTTGATCCAGTTGGCTTTCTTTGCCATAACAGCACACTGCTCTCTCACATGGAGCTGCTTCTTCACCAGGACCCCCAGATCCATTTCCACAGAGCTGCTCCTCAGGCAGGTCCATCCCAGCCTGTGCTGCACTCCTGGATTGTGTTTTGCCAATTGCAAGATCTAACCCTTGTCCTTGTTGAACTTCCTAAAATTCTCTATACATCCTATCAATGTTCTTTTAGTTCTCAATGTGTATTTTTCTGCTTTTCCATCTCTGGTACACTTCTTTTCTGGATTTGAGCAAATTCAGAAGTTCACAGTTAAGCCAAGGAGGTCTCTAGCTCTGCCTCTTTCCTGACCTTAAAGGGGATGAACTGGTTTAGTATTTCCAGGAGACTGCATGTGAAAAACTCCCAGCACTTTATCCTCCATAGCATCCCTTCCCATGGGCTATGAGCATAGTGAAGTTTGCTCTTCAAAATCTAAAATGTTTGTTTTAACACTGACCTTCAGCATGCTCAGCAGGATCCCACTACTGTGACCATGGCAGTCGAGGCTGTCCCTGATTGGGTTTTACAAAGCAGGTTTCCTTGGCTTGTGAGTAGCAAGTTCAGCAGTGCCTCACCCTTGATTGGCACATCTAACCATCTGTATTCCAAATATGTCCTCTACATACTCCAGGAATGTGATGGATGACATGTGGGATGCTGTACTGTTCTTCCAACAAGTGTCTAGGCAGCCAACATCACCCACAGAACCAGGTTCTTTTGACCCAAAGCTTTCTTAAGTGACCCAAATATTGTTTCCTTTGTGTTATTTCCTTGGTTTGGAGGTCAGTAGCAGATGCCTACTTGGAGATTTCCCTTGGAGACGACCTCTCTGACCTTGACTCAGGCATTCAGTAGAGCTTCCACAATCTTTGTAGGCATATATTGAGGTGGTTGTTCTTTGGGTTCTCATCTTGGGAAGCAGCTAAGGAACATTTGGCACTACTCTAGTTCGGTTGACTTATTCCACAGATCAAAAAATTCTGTTTTGGTTCAAAGCCTGCAGCTATGTTTCAGGAAAAAAAATCTTCCAAAAATTATTGTCTTTAAATTTCTGGGTAATTGTGAGTTTATGAAACTAAGCTACGTGCTGTGGCTAGCCATGATTTGTTGTTGACTTTTTTTTTGAAGAAACCAATACTTTAACGAGTTTTGAACATTCAGCATAGATCTGATTTTGTCTAAAATAGCTTTCTGTTTTTGAAGTACACTGTTTTGATTTTGACAAAATAGTGTTTCCCTCTCAACATATTTATTGATATTTATTTTGCTTACAATTTGTGTTTGAGTTCTGCTGTTGGAGGCACATATATAATGCCATTTGAGCAGAAACTGTAATGGAATCTGAGCTCTAATAACTATAAAATTGGGTCTTTTTGTTTTAATTTATGTATTTCATGCACTAGACATATTTTAATAATGCCTTGCCTGCATTAAATCTAAGTATTTGTACCATGAGCATATTAAACTGGATGTTTTTGTACACAGTCACATCACACGTCTATAATTCCAGATGAATAGACACAACAGTATTGCTTGGTGTAGTGAATTGTGGATTAATCAGTTAGCCTCCCTCCCCAGAAAGTATGTGACTCTAATAAGGCCTAGTAATGCAATTGTGAACCTGAGAATATTTTTCAGTTGCTCTTCTTTTTCTAGAAATAGTTTTTTTATCAAGTGTGTATTTCAGTTAAGGGGAAAAACATAGGTCACAGTTGTCATATTAATAACCAGTCTAATTCCAAGCAATTTGAGATAAAACGGAATTCTGAATGTTGCTTATAAATTATGATGGAGTGTTACATACACAAAAATGCTAAAGCATAACTTTTTTTTCAGAGTTACCAAAATTTAACATACAACTGCACCAGCATATTGATGGGGTGCCTTTTGAATTATAACTTTTAGTCTTTAGATTGGGAGCAGCCCAAGGTGGAAAGACTGTTCAAATCCTCAGCTGAAGTAATAAATGTTCTTTGAGTAGAGATGAACTTAACAGAGCTGAACATTTGTTTTGGGCTAATGGTCAGATATTTGGTGGTGACATTGGTCACCAGCATCACAACCTTTAAAGTCAGTGGGAAAAGTATTCTGTCCTCTGTTACAGCAGTGAAATCTTCACCTGGCTTCATTAATTTTTGTATGTAGCTGCACAGAATTTTAGGAAAATGAAGTTATCCTAGAAAGTAGAATTCAACCTGAGTACATGAGTTTGATATCCTAAAATTGTGACATATTTTGTCCTGAAGCATGCTGTTTCTGCTGTTTCCCACAATTGTGCCTGAAGTTACAGATGCGATTCAGGCTATGCGTTAATTCTAAATGCAATCACAAGGACATCTGAAAGCCTGTAAAGATGTATTACTGCTTGGGATATTCTGCCAGTGTAGCAGGTATAAAGACAATTGAGCTCTAAAAACATTATCTAAAGAAGTATTTTCTTTCAGGAATGCGCATTTTGTCACTTCTGGTTGTGCTTATCTTGTAGTTACTGAAGACCTTAGGAAGCTACTGCATGAATCCTAGCAGGATTTGATAGCTGTTGAAGGGAATGGAGAGTATGTCCTTTTGTGATTCTTCTGTGGACCAAAACACCAACTCTAAGGCAAAGTAAATACTGAAGAGACATTTTCAGTAAAATAAGCAATACTTGATTGATACAAATGGCATTACTTTTGGTTTCAGAATTAACTCTCTAGGCTTACTTGAGAAATTTAGTATCAACACTAAAATCCATTTTGGATTATCCACCAATATGAGGTATATGGGATCTAAAAATCTAAAACATTTTAAAATTACTTGGCTAGAGGTTTTACTTGTTTGAAATGTGCCTAAATTTTATACAGATAATGGAGTTCTGAAGGTCCTTCATATTTTGGGTGTTTTAGAGGACAATCAGGTATCTATAGAACTAAACTTTTGACTGTAACAATATATAGAATAGCACACAATTTTTCAGAAGTACTTACAGAAGCCACTAAGAATAAATACCTATTTTACTGTTAGAAAAAGTATTTATCATCTGTATTGATTACTCTAACAGTTGTACTGTAAGCTTTACAAATACAAGTATTATAACCATTTGTATTTGGCTGAAAAAATAGGAGGAGAGGGAAATGGGAATTTGAAAATCTTTAAAAATGACAAAGGTAAAAAAATATCCATTAGTCCACTGACAGATTTGTGCTCCTTCTGTAAACTTTTCATCAAGCATGAATTAACCAATAGAACATTGTTGGTGTCTTACTATAAACTGTCTTGTTGATAGAATGCATTCTTCAAACATGTATTAGAAATAAGTGTTCATATCTTCACTTTATGAAGTTACCTAAGCTAAAGTGTTGTGACCTAGGCAAAGTTATGAAGCTGAAAGATAGCAACAACAGTGTTGGAGAAGAGTGATTTAACATTTAGTTGATTTATGCTTTGTACAGGACTCTGTTATGGTGTGCAAAAGGTACTTGTTTTGAGTGGTGGATGTACTGCATGCTCATGTTTAATAGTTTAGCTCCAGTTAAAAAAGGATGGCATTTAAGTTGTAAATAGTGTACACTACTATATTTCATTTTTAAGCAACTTTCTTATTTCCCTGTTTGTGTACAGTTCTCTATGTACATATTAAAAAATCCTAAAACAAACAAACCACAACATTTTGAGAAACTTTTGTAGTTATCTTTTGCATTTTAATTGTGTTAACAACCTAAATATGTCCATTCAGCTGTCTGTTTAGTTTGAAGTTTTCATTGCATGCTTTCAGGTTCTTTGAAAAACAGCAATAACAGTTGGACAGTTATTTAAAGTAAAACATTCTTCTGCACAATTTCCACTTCCATTCTTTAGAATGCATACACAGTGGAACAGTTGTCCAATTGTAAGATTTAAATAATCGTTTAGTAATTATTTATATTTATTTCGTTTGTGGTGGTAGGATATGTCTCATAGTAGCTTATAAACAGAATTTGCAAGTTAAACACGATTTTTTTCTCATGCTCATTTATTTAACTAAAATTTTCTATTAAAATATTTTCATAAACTTTCTGTAGCTTACTGTATGTTCTTCTAAGTAATCATGAAGCTATTTTTCAACCTCTGTATGAAATACTCTGACAACACAAGTTTTACGTTTTGTGAATCTGGTTGAAATGTACAGATGTACACATAAAATAAAGCTAAAATTAGCAAATAAATTATGTACCTTCTTGTAGACCACAGTGGTGTGTCCCTGCTGTTGTCTGAATTGTGATTTATAGATAGAAAAAACCCCTCCTTGGTACCTGTGTTAGCACCAGACTGAAGTGTGTTTCTGCACACAGCTTTATAACCTATGGCCTCTGTTTCTTACAGTTGAACTTTAGCATGTGAGAAAAAAATGTCTGAGCAAATGAATCATCTGTAAATGGCCGGTTAGAGCAGAAACTGAGGCAGCTGCTTCTGTGGTTATCTTAGGATTTGTTTGTGCAACTGGCTGTATGTAGTTTAGAAAACAAATTGGTTGCAGAAATGAGAACCAGATTGATATAGTTCATCAGGTTAAGCCAGCTCACAAGAGAAAGTTCTTTGGGAAAAATATGCTTAGTCAACATGATGTAAATAGTTTTTATAGGGTTTTTTTGTTGTTGTTGCTGGTTTTGTTTTTTTGGTTTGGCTTGGTTTGGTTTTTGGTTTATTTTTTTTTTTTTTGTGGTCCTGCTGAGGTATATAGTGCTTTTCATTCTTTGTTCGTTGTTGTTGCTGGTTTTGGTGTTTTTTTTTTTTTTGTTAGGTTGTTTTTTTTGTTGTTGGTTTTTTGGGTTTTTTTGTGGTCCTGCTGAGGTATATAGCTGCTAGTTATTCCTGCTTTTGTCCCATGTACTTAATTTTTAAGGAAGTCTAATTCACCGTGATTAGTCATTATCTCTCGGAGGTGCTATTTTGACAGACTGTAGTGTAAGCTTTGTATTGCATATTTTAAAGGAAAAAAAGTTTGAATTGCTTTATATTTTCTTAAATAATCTGTATGAGAACATTCATTGGTAAATCTGTGAGTCTTCCCATGGAGACTGAAAGCACTGCTTTTAGAGATGGCATTGCAGGAGCTGACTTATGAAGTGCTTAAGGGGCTTTAGAGAGTATAAAACTAGATTGCTGTGTCTCAAAGTAGTGGTGGGTTGTGAGGTTTTTGGTTTGTTTTGGTCCATTTTTTGTGTGCATTTTAAATTTTGGTTTTGGGGTTTTTTAATTTGTAATTTAAAGTTGCTTTCAAGATGAGCTTTTACTTTGAGTGATGGAGGCACAAAAAGGGAAATCGATCTAGAGGAAAGGATTCAAAATACCTGAATCTTCTGATTATAAACTCTGGGGGAAGTTGTGTAAGGCACAAAGCAATGCTGTGCAAAAATATCAGCTTTAAGAGTAACTGCCAGAAGTAAGCAGCTACTTTGATTTTGCATGCTGAGTGGGGTGGGGTGCCTGCCTCTGCAGAACAGCTGGATCTGCCTCTGGACACAGCAGGGATGTTCCTCTGCCACCCTGCTCCCTGGCTGCCTGCCTGGGACCCCTGCAGGAACATCTGTGGCATCTGGGCTGTGTCCCCAGCGGGAGCCAGGGAACAGCAGGAGCTGAGAGCATGAGAGCTGCTCCAAGGTAGGTCATCTCTGTGCCCAAACTGGAGCCCTCACCCCAGGAAGAGCAATATCCAAATGCTATTTCCAGTACCCCAGAATGGCTCATTCACAACTGATTTTTTTTTTTTTCCTTCTTAAAAACTAAGATGTGCTTATTTATAAGACACGTACTCTCTCAAAGAACAGATTTCTTCTATTCTGAGAAGCTTAGTTTCAGGGAATGCAGTTAAGCATTGCATCTTACATTGCCTCACAGAAAAGTATCTAAATCAGTTTCACTCTTCCTGACACATGAGAGAAATAATATGTAAACTTTAGATACCAAAAGTAATTAGCCTGGTGGGTTGGATGCAACCAGGATAAAACCGTGTTAAAGTGTTCTACATACTTTAACATATATAATAGGTCTACAAACATATATGTAAATATAGACACATAAAAAAATAAATATATATATATACATCTCCGTATTTACTTGAGCATCTCTTCCTGGTTATACTTTGTAAATGGTGGTGGGGGGGTCTACCTTTTCTTTTTGAAGTATTTGTTATTTTTCAAATATTCCTAGTAAGCTTGGGCACAGAAGTACAGTGTAGGTGAAGCTTGTTCAACTGTAAAATAGGATACGAGTTTAAATTTTTCAGGGAGCTTGAGGACACAACTTTTATTTCAAGTATGTTCCTTTTGTCCAAAGAAATTATGGCATATGTCAGATCAACTCTGTTGATGGATAATAGAGCAACACTGATTACTGACATTCCAGGCATGATAGATACTGGCACTATCAGGGGTTTTTTAAATTGTTAAAAGCTGACTGAAAATATTATTGTAGAATAGCAGCTTGAAATGTTATCAGTGGAAGGGGAGCCAGAGTAATCAGTAGTCTGAGCCTATAGCTTCCTATTTAACATGGAATTCATCCCAGCACAACTGTTTCAGGACCAGACGAGGCTGCCCCTTTGCGCAGTGCCTAACTATCAGCTGAGCAGCGCCTTTCTACTGCGGTTGCATTTTACTTTAGAGCTGCCTAAACTGTTCCTGGTGCTATCTTAAAAATAAATAAAATAAATAATGGTGCCTTAAGAAAGAATGTTTCTAATGCCTGCACTATTTGTTCTCTGTTTAGCATTGGAGCAGTTACAGCTAATGGATGCCTTTCCATTTCCAAACCTTGCTGGGCACAGCTTCTGCTTTTAGCACAATTCCAAGTACCCTCCCTCATGGGAGGTTATTTGCTGTTCCCTAACTACCCTGGCAGAGGTGTGCAGCCCTGCTCCTGGCCTAGAGCCTAGAGCCTTGGTCCCTGCTGTAGCCCTCTTGTGCTGGCGTGCACGCACAGGACCTTCCTTAGAAGCTGTAACTAAAGGTGAGACTGCAGAAAATTGTCATCTGAAGGCAGCATGGGGGAAGTACGAGGCCACAGCATTGTGCTAAAATGATAGGGTTTGGAAAATTGTTTTTTTAAAAGCCAAAATTGGGGCTGGTATCACATAGGTAAGTAATTTGAGTGATTAGAGATAAAGCAAAACAGTGCTTGAGAAGTCAGTCAGTGGCAGCCAGGGACATGAGAGGCTCACTGGATGTGGGTGAAAATTCCCTGATAGTCCATTAGGTGGCTTCAGTGGCACATACTTTGGAATACCTTGAAATAAAAGCATGGAACTTAGCTAGGGTGGGGAAGACTAGGATGCACTGAATTATGGTGAGGATCTTTGTAGGGTGTGAAAGGGAGCAAGGAAAGGTGTATTTCTCAGAATGGGGGAAAAGGGTGCTGCAATAACAAGCAGGGAGGCAACATGAGCTTCATCTGGAAGGCTGGGAGAGTTTTATTGTTCTGAATATAAAAAGGTAGACGTCCACATCAAAGATCATGCCTCAAGTTTAGAATTTTTAATTATGGCAGTTTTGTACAGGAAGGGAAGGAAAACTGTGAGAAATGAAAGAAAATAAAAACGTGCTGGAAGAATTAAAGACAGATTCCAGACTGAACTTCATACTTCACCCAGCATTCCTTCATAGCCAGGTGCTGCACAAAGTTACACACCCAGGGTTGTTTCCCTAGTGCAGAAAGAACATTTCCTCTTTTATGTACTTCTTATTCTGTGTTTTTCGGGATCCCACCAGTTTAGAAAACTCATGCCTCTATTAAATAATGACAAAATAATTAATTAAAAACCTGTTCAGGTTCAAATAATATTTAAGTTATTTTTATCTAAACTGTTACTTTGGAGAATAGTAGAACAAATGCTTAGCCACATCAGTTTTCCACAAACACAAGAAAATATTTTTCTTGATAGTTTTCAAAACAAGCAAACAAAAAGAGCCAACAAAGTGCTACATACTTCACTCTACCAGATCGTATGCTATGATTTTTTTTTGTAATCTTGAAGCAATATATAATCCTTCCTTTAGAGGACTGTTGTTGTATAAGGGTGGATATTTTTTTTCTCCAGCACCAGGAGTTTGTCTGATATTTAAGTAAACCCCCTGCAAAGCAGAAGTTCTTTCACTAGGTGGTGATCTTGGCCTGTCCATGATTTCTCTCCCTCCTTTCCTCTTTCCTCCCACACTGCACTTCTAGATAACGACCAAAGCAACAATCCTGTTTTAATGCTGCTTCTGAATATTATGTTTACAAAGGTAAGTAGTCTTAACATTTAAAAGCTTAGGACAGACTGAAACTATTCATTTTCACAGCTTTCTTCTTAATGTTATCTTTGTTTATGATGTCTGGTACTCAAGGTATTATTTATTATTTATTCCTGGTGGCATGTTTAATGTTGTGCTATATGACATGAATATTTCTAAAATTCAAACTAAAAACTACAGGAGCAGATGAGAAAATCCAGATCTTGAACACTTAAATGTTAAATTGCTCTTTACCTGTGTCAAAGCAGAAATGGGGTGGTGGTGGTGGTGGTGGATGTTTTTCCAAATAAAGGAACAAAGCAGTAGTCTGTTGGCTCGAGAATTCAGGGCACAAGATCTTGCTTGGTGAGATGTAGTAAGGAAACAGTAAAAGTGGGAGTGTGCAACAAACTGGGACAGAAGGGAATCTCTTCTTGAGGCTATACTTCTATCTGACTTGCCACAGCAGGTGCTTTCTTTGGAACAACTCCTTTCTTGCATGCAGTGCAGCTCTGCAGGCTGACAAAGTGGGCTTGTAAAACTGGGAGTTTTCAGGAGATGAATGTGACAATTTTGCCATCTGTGTTTGCTTGTGCAAGCTGGGACTCAGAATCCCATAGGCCAGCCTGAGGCTTGCCTCTCTCAGTGCACAGCCACTTCATTAAGTGCTCTCATTTCACTGTGTGCTTTGCAAAGTGAAGTCCTGCTTGGCTTTCTAGTTGGTCAGACTGAGATATGAGATACTTCAGGAAGAAGCACTTCAGTGCCAAGACAGGGTCTGGCATTTAAATCTTCGCAAAGTGCTTCCCAAGGGTTTGGCACTCAGAGTAATTACTTTGCAGACAGAGAGGATCTTGGTCAACTAATGCCTTGACTGGCATGTCTAAGGAAGATCAGCCTGAAAACAGCCAGATTGTCAAAGTCACATTAAAATCTCAGTCAAATGCAAGA